GTTTTTAAAATTTTATCGTGTAAACCACTAAATATTTTCAATTCAGTGCTGTATATATATAAAAAAAAATTAAAAAAGTGAATTTTCCTAGACCAGATTCGAACCCGGGACCCGCGGTTGGAAGGGAAAGCGCATCTACACTGAGCCATCAGCGACTTCATTTGTGCGAGTCGTATATCTGTTTCTTAACATACCATGTTTTTCGAAACATTTCAAAAAAAACTTCAACAAAAATATTTAGTAGTCGTGGATAAAGTATAGTATTCTACTCCCGTATAATGGCTATTATCCACTCGGTGATTTAGGCCACTCGCCTGCGGCTCGTGGCCGTAAACTTCACCTCGTGAATAATACCCATCATTATACGCTCGTTGAATAATATACTATTATGTTTATTTTTTAGATACCAAGATAAATATACTAAATATTCTACCCAATAGACTGGTGAATTATATTTAGAATTTTTGCAAAACTCGAGTTATTAGAAAATGTGCCGTTATTTCTCACAGCTATGTAGTTTATGCATCATAGCGCTCCACCAAATTTCACTGTAAATGTCCGGCAGTATCTGAATCAAAGATTGCCTCGTCGATGGATCATTAGAAAAGATAATGTTCCTGTTAACTGGCCTGTACGTTCACCAGACTTAACAACTTGCAACTATTATCTTTGGGGCACTCTGAAAACAACAGTGCATGATTGCACATCTAACACTGAACTGAGTTGTGGAGGCATATCCAAAATGCCATAAATGTTTTAAACTAATGCGTCGTATGTGTGTATCCATATCCAAAAATGAACATGTCGTAGTAAACACTCATTAAGAATTGAATATAGGTGGCAAGATAATGTAGACATTTAAAAAATGTTTTTTTGTACCCAAACCACTCATTTAATCAAAATTCTATAAGAGACCCAAAAACTTCCAAATAGTATCACCTATCAAATAAAAATTACTTGTCATTATTGCCCGAAAGACGAAAAAGACGGCTGTTATCACCATACATCAATTTTGTAGGAGTTTTAAGTTTTAAAAAAACACTGTATGACACAAAAATGTGTAGATTGAAAGCAAAAGTTCATGTCCCAAAAATAATCAAAATCGAATAATACGTATTCCAGTTATTTACAAAATTCAAAAAATGTTCACAAACTTTGAAGCCATCTAGCGGCCAAACGGAGCGATTTGGGATATATATATGAATTAGCCTAAATCCGCCTATTTTGAGTCCATGAATATGTGGTCTTCCATTGTACACGTTATTCTGGGACACCCTGTATATTTCTTATACCTTATACATGATATTTTTATGTAGACAGCTCTCCTTCTATTATATCCACTGCATATGTAAACCAGCAATTTCACTCCATTGTCAATACTTTGATCTCATTCAGCCATTTTCGGTGCCCTTGGAAGAAACTCTGATTAGGTCAGTGTTACGTAAGTTTTGCGTTGTTACGAAACAGGGTTAGGCCTCGACTAAGCTACAGTGGAATCGGGGTGGATTCAGAGTTCACAAAATATATTTTATTAATGAATTTTAATTTATAGTCGAGAGTGCCAAGTGATTTTTCTAT